CAGCTTGTCAGCGTATTTCATTGATGGCCTGTGAAGGACACCGGAACTTAGGATGAACGAAAGTGCTGAGGCAGACGGTAAAAACCAAAACGGCTGCCAGTTGAATTGACTTTAAGAGTGCATTATGAGTATGCACCTAAACTAGCCATAATTCCTGGTTAAATTAAAAGTATTTAAGGACAGTGACGAAAAAAATGTCCGACACTGGAGTGAATAACTATCACGGTGCTTACCAGAAGATTTTCTATCCCAGACTGCAGTGGACTGGACTGCATTCTTGACCTCATCTAGGTCTCATCTGTACCACCAACAGGACTCAAAAACTGGGTCTTGCGCATTCTGGCCTTACGTTATCATTACACTAATCAACCATGGTAACCAAATAACCAAAACAAGCCAGGCCCTTCTTAAATCCTACTTAAAATGGCCGAGTAGATAAGGCAAACGTCAATTTTACTATAATAATCGACACCCCTACTTATTTTAGTTGTGAGTAGTTGTATAAACTATTACCAAATCCCTAATAACAACTGGGTGAGTCAGATTCATATAAGTATTTGATAAAAATCCATTGCAAATCCTTGAATGATGGATAGGTTCGGAGCCTACTCATATTAAATATAAATAACGTCGTCGTTTGTCGTATCTACAATCTCACTAGAACAAGTTTGGCTTGACTTAAATGTCACATTTATCTCTGTGGTTTATGTGACGAAGTGATAAACGCTGCCGCCATGATGAGCACGACCATGTCTGGACTTGCACTTGAAAAAGTCGAAACTGCTGTCCATCCCGGATGAGAAGACCTTTTGGTAGTTAAGGCATTTTTTTTGTGATTTCGAAAAAACTTCCCCCTTCTTTTCACAAATATCTTTAAGCAGCCGAGGGGAACTAAGTTCTGACCGAAAATAGCAGCAAAAGTAATAGTGAGGGGCTTTAGAGGCTGCCGAAAATGCATATTCTGAATCATATTCAGAAATAAGAAGCTGACACATGATACAAAGGTTGATAGTGCTGCCGTCCAAGACGTCTAAAACACGTGATTGTGCAGTAGAAATTCACTGTTCCATGCAACTCAAAAGAGGGCATTAACATGTGGCAGTTTTATTTCTAGCATGTCGAAAGTATGCACTGCACGGCCTAGGTCCGAGTTCCGTTGGCGGTGGTGATGTGAATAACTTTCGGAAGCAAGGTC